ATGGGCTGGTCCGGAATCTATTTCTTTCAAAAGTGTTGCGCCAAGTTTAAGGTTAAGTGATGTCACACCTTCGGATCGATTAGAAACGTGTGAATACATACACTATGGCTATACGTTTCACTGCAACTGCCCACAACACAACATCTAAAAACTCTCTCTCTCTCAAAAAAAAATAAAATAGACAAAAAAAAAGAAAAAACGCCGACCGAAAAATGTATATCGTTTAAAAGTATACTGAGCGACCAGTGTTATTACAGCTCAGGGGTATGACTTCCTCTCACATTTTGTCATTTGGTGGCGCACTTTCGGCAAGAGTCGGAAATCCGGAAACAGTCGACCGTTTCACGATAGGTGGGCGTGGCTACAACACGAAAAATATCCCAAATTTACTTGGATACGAGTAATCATTTGCAGCAAAAAAATCAATAACTACCCTTTTCAGTGGGACACAGATCTAAAATGGGAAACGTGAGGGTGGGCATTGCACAGGCACTTTAAGTTTTTATTCAAGAGCATGTTTATTTTGACTAGCTAAGCTCCGTTTGGACAAAGAGCTGTTATCACTGTAAACAATGTGAAATTATTCTTCTTATGCTAAGTTCATCTTTGAAAACAACTATTTTTTTATTTTAAAAAAAATCATGCCATTTTCCCATCAAAATCCAAGCCAAAAGAGCGTACTACAACATCGTCAAATCTCTTCCGCGTTGCGTTCAATAACATTAACATATTTAAATGAGCTATGGTGATTTGAACGCGTTGGCATCGTCCAGCATTTTGATTGGTTAATTTGCGATTTGACCTATTAGCTCAACTCATGCAAGAGAAGCGCATGGCGGATACCCTACCGCATCGAGCGTTTATATCATTTGCTTACGATGAAACTAAGTTGAATTTTATTTGAATTTCATAAAAATTATCGAATTTTTTTTTTTTTGCGTTATTATAATCACTACTGACTAATAATCAATGTTTGTGAAACGTAGCATGTCCGGATTGAGCATCTGTGATCGCTTGCCGGGATTGTTAATGCAGTTGTGTTCGTTTTTATTAGAAACGTCGTTTAAAATATACTTTTGTTACCAATAAAATAAAAACAAATGTATTTGAAAAATGACACTGGGCGACACTTTAATGACATTTCAGGTGGTCTACTTTTTAATTCAGCAATAATTATTAATTAATGTTAATTCTGCAATAGTTTCTTTCGTCTTGGGTGGCCCAACTCACGGCGTAGAAAGTCTGTGTAGTTGGATACAATGAAAATGTCCCCCCAAAATATTTGATAATTATTTTTTTAAATTTTGAACCCCAATAAGCGCACATCA